CTAACATGTTTACTCAGCACAACATTACCCTGATGTATTGCATCAGGGTACTTCGCAAATTGAAACAGGCTTCGTCAAAGCACCCTGTGCTCCAAAAATAATGTGGCCCTCCAATTGCAACTCTCAGCACTGCTCAGCATTGTGACGTTGCTGATATTTGCTAATGATCAGGTGCTGAAGGAAATTCGGAAATGTCACATTGCCAGCCTCCAGTTGGACAACATTTTAAATCTCAGCTCTTCAACATTTAGGCACACAGATCGCTTTGCTCTGAAAACAGACTTCAGTGAAACTGCTCCTGCTAACAGATAAGCACATGTCAAAGGGCTGGCAAGGGCTGGAGTCTTGGGTTTTTCCACAGGCTAAGTAGGTGCCCAGGCTAGACTGGCCTTTGACAAAGAGGACAATCCAGTAAGATTTTGAATTAGGAGTTTAAATTATTCTCTCACCAGTGAACCGGTCTCCTGGGCTCACCCAACACTTCGCAGTCTCCTCACAGCAGTGTGTGGCGCGTGTGGGGGAAGAGGAGTCCAGAGCAGGACAGCAGGGCACAGAGCAGTCATTTTAACTACTTGTGCTTAATGCTGATCTTGCATATAGTCTACGTACAGACCCTGTATTCCTCTTATATATTTATATAAGTCTCGCGAGGCATTTATTGAAATCAGTGTAACTTTCCATAGGGTATTTCTTAATTGCATGCATTTTTACAAGGATAAAGACTGTGCGTATTAGATGTATGTGAAAGATGAGAGACGTGAGTGGGAAGCTGAAATGCTGAGTGTATTTATTTATATGAGTTTATGTTTGGAGCTTAATGAGCTAATAGCGAAAGAGTTTAAAGAATACATATACCTTTTAAGGAGGAATTTGAATCTACAGACAGCTTGATTGAATTGTGCAATTAGAATAGTTTGCACTTACCACACAGACATTATCTGTGATTTATACTTTGTAAACATCAATATTAGCATGTTTTGCATGGCTTTAAAAGTATTTGCTTTTGTTTTCTTTAATTAAATTAATTTCTTGTAAATATCTCCAGCTATTTGTGATACTTGTAAATAGTCCCATCAACAAAGGAACTCAAATATGCTGAAAGAAAATGTTCTGATTTCCTGAAATGCATGTTAAACATGCAGCTTAGCTGTTTGAGTATTCTACCTGCAAAATCAACTAAAAAGCATTCCTCTTGGGGCTGGCTACTATTATTATGGCATTATTGGAGATTAGTGCGGAGCTCACAGTGTGTGATTTCCCTTTTTATTTTTTATTTGTCACTACTGGTTAGGTTAATAAGCAGCTAAAGTGTATAATAGTCCTGTTGAACTGGTGAGGCAAAGCACGCTGGAAGTTCTTACTGGTAGTGATAAGAAGCCATATATTACTGCTGTTAAAACACTTCTTTCTGCTGTTGCCATAAAACAGTTTTTCAGACACCTAACACTCTGGAAATACAACACATTTTTCTTTTAAAATTATGATCATGTAATGGGTGGTTTGCTATACCACTTTTGTAAGCCTGATTTTGTGTTTATGTTGAGATGTGTGTACATGTGTCTGTAAGGCATGCTGCCCAATAGTTAAAATTAGGTGTTTGGTTCATTCAGTTGGCCCTGCCAGGGTGCAGCAAGGGCACTGTCCCACAGGACCTGAGCTAGAAGAGCAAAGCATGTCCTTGATGGTAACCTGGGTCAGCTGAGGTCCACTAAGAGCCCAACAGGTCCATAGAGAGGAGGCAAGTCTGAGGTCAAGCCTAAAAGTCAAGTTGCCAGATCAGGGTCAGGTGCAGGATCAGAGAGATTCGAGACCAAGCACATGTGGACCTGCAACAGGGACCAAGTTTGAACCTCCACTTAAATGCATCTCCCAAAAAAAGGGGACAGCTTCTGTTGAGGCTTCTTCCAGCTTTTTCTCAGAGAGCCCTTTCTTCATAACTGGTTCAAGGCCTGAGAGCTGCTTGTCAAGGTTGGGTCTTAGCCCAAGCAGCCAAACCCCCAGGATGGAGGCAATGTGCTCAGGGCCCTGACAGTGATTGAGTTTGAGACTTTGAGCCCATCAACTTGACTGTATTTATCTTGACTTCAGATTACATATCAGTTTGCTGTATTATCAACCTCACACAAGTGTTGTAAGCCTTAATTCATGCTCATTAAGTACTTTACTAGATGAAATATGCTTTTTTACTTAATACAACATATTATTATTTTTGCATGGTGTTATTTCAGTGACTGACCTGTAACATGGCATGTGTGTTTGATTCTATAAATAGAATTTGAACCCCATCTTTCAGTGTCCCTCATATAAAAGCAATGATTTTGTGTAGTGATGGCTCCCTTTGCAGCATTTGCAGGTGATTACATGTGTACTCATCGGTAAGAGAGCCTGAACTACAGCTGCATTGTTACTATTAAAGAAAGGTAGTTTATCTCACTGCAAAAAGACAAGATGAGTAACTAAAATAGTCGTACTTTGTCACGGTAGTTGTGCAGCTTCTAAGTCTACACAATGAGGTCTTTTCTTTCCAGTAGTCCAAATCATGGGACACAATTACACGTCGGTAAGGAGAACCTCAGACTTGAAAAACTGCCAGCTAAAGTCAGCGTGAAGATTCATACTGTTGTCAGTATGCAAAGGATCAGATAGTGCTACAGCAACAACAGGACACAAAATCTTGGGGGAAACTAGCTTGTCACTGCAACAATGGGGAAAAAAAATCTATCCAGTCCTTTTTCAGCTAGGAAGGATTAAAAAAAAAGTAATAAATGAAGCCTTTGAACTCTGAGTTTCTTTCCATGAACAACAGCTTTGTATAAAAGCTTCGGGTTAGTACTAGTATAAACCCCGCAGATTTATTGCAATACATTATCAAAACCCAAAGTCTTTTCTGTCATACAAAGTATTTTTTAATATTTTTTTTTTTGGTCACAGGTAGAAGAGGCAGCTATTCATCATCTTTAAAATAATTTCTAATAAGATTGTTTGCAGAGTAATCGGGTCTTTCAGGTGATCTAATCACTCTGGTGGGTTATCATCATTCCTTTGGCAATACTTTAATGAAGAAAGGAGTATAAAAATATCGGACATGGCTGTTTTAGGAAACAGTAGGAAGACACAACCTCAAAACCAGCGATATGCATAAATTATATATGCTTTCAATTGCAACATGTATACCTCAGTAGTTAATTTGATGCATGCAGTGTAGGTTTGGAGGGTTTTAAAAGGGTTTAATTGTTGGCCAGTCAGAACTGATTCTTCTCCCATGTCTTGTTGTAATCTTGCTGACTTGAATGGAGGTAAGACTGATTATCAGCCGGGGTAAGAAAGAGGAAATAACAAATCTGAGTGTTTTGGTTTAAATCTTTACTTCTGAGAGTAAAAAATATTTGCTAGGTAAGTCTGAAATTGAATTTTCAAATAGATTTTTTTTCCTTTTTTTTTTTTTTCTCTCTTAGATTGCTTAAGGCAAGGGCAAAGGATCAGTGATGTTCTACAGGTTCATGTCTGGATATACCAGTGCAGGAACTGTTGTTAGGGTACATTGTGTGGGTAAAGCAAAGGTCTTAACAGCCTTCTACAAAAAGAATCAGATCCTATCAAAGACGTAAACAGCTAAAATGGGACTAAGATGGATTTCAGGTGCCAATTCAGAAACTCCACTTTAATCCTGGGACAAAACTCAGTATAAGTTGTTCTGTGCTGCCTGAGGCTCAGCACGGTGCTGTGGGCTGACCTGCCCCACTTCAACAGGCTCCTTCTCCAGCTCCATCCTAAACCGTGCTGGGAGCCAACCTCTAAGCAGAACAGGTCTTGAGGCCCCTAATCTGTGGTGTGTGATGAGAACACCTGTGAAATATGTGGATGGTACCAGCTGTCTGCTCTCCCCAACACATTTGTAGCCTTTTTTTCAAATAGAGGTGGATGACAAGCCCTTATTTTATGCAGTGGCCAGAAGAGTGGGCCAGGAAGTGGCTTTGATTCCCTTCCCAGCTGGAGGAGATGCAAACCTGCAGCATCAGGGGGTGCTTTAACAACTCAGCTGTATGGCTGAGAGAGGACAGGGAAAAAGATTGGGTTTAAAAGAGAGCTGTCCTGCAGCTGCCGGTGAGGGAGGTGGCATTGGGTAATGCTGCTTTTTTTTCAGTAGTCTGCTTCTGCTTTCAGGTTTGCTTAGGCAGTCGTGGAGGAAAGAACCCCCAACACTCAAGCCTGAAAGAAATGGTGTGACAAGCTGACAGCAAAATTCAGGGCTTGTAGCTGACTGTCCTAATCAGTAGTTCCCAGAGCTGTTCTGGTTTTCTGTGCAGTAAATTATGCATGCTTCATTTCGACAGAAGAGGGCCTCCCAGCTTAACCTTTAGCAAGACATTTGGTGAACGCTCCTGAGAGATGGGGATGGGAGCTTGAATGCATTCAGCCTGAGCAAAACGAGCTCTTGCAGTCAAGGTGTGATTCAAGAGGTAGAACCATGAAGTCCTCTCGAAGCCTGAATTTTTAAGTGCGCGGTTCCTTCGTAGGTTCCTGATTTAAGGTAAAGATTCAGAGCTGTGGATCCCAAGAGGAGAAAATATTTCCTTTGCAGGGGCAAAGCTCACCCCTGTCTCCCTGACAAGCCAAATATCTAAAGAAACTTTGGATATTCCACTTTAAAAGTGAGGCACATAAGATATCAGGCTTGCAAGGCCTAGCTTGCAGCTACCCAAAATGTTCAGCCGAATCTAATCCCTTTTAATGCTGGAGACTTATTAGTGGGATTTAACTTTACGTGGTCTTAAATTATGCTTAGCCTTACTTTGAGGCCATGTTACACTATTTTCACTGGAGACTTTCTAAGAAAATCCAGACCTGTTGTCAAATTCAGATTCCCCAGCACAACCAGGCTGACGCCAAACGCCAGAGAATAGCGGTGTGAGGACATTGTGTGCTTTAGTACGTGCCCAACTTCTTCATGGCCAGATGAGTCAGAGGTGGTGTAAGTGCCTGCAGCCTGGTTCACTCACAGGCAGCCAAGGGTCATTTCTTCCAAAGCAATGTGGCTGTGGCAGCGACGAACAGTGAAGGCCACAGGGTTCAGCACACTTAAACCCATGCTCAAGCCTGCTCCTAATCTCTTGCTGCTGACCTATCCAAAAATCCAAGTAAACTGAGCTAAAACAGCACCTCGCTCATTCTCAGCGAGTAGCATCTGCTTCTGCAATCACCCCCCGTGCAATCAGTGGGGTTGTTCATGTGGCAATGTGTATTGAGGGTGTCAGTTGGAAAAATACACCTTTATTTTTCATTCTGTTTTGGTTTTTTTCAGTCCGTGTCTTGGAGCAGAAGACAAGGTGCCTATATCAGTGTTGCACATCTCTGGACCGTGTCCACAGAGGCTTGCTGGCAGGAGGAACTGAACTGCTCTCTCTGGCAGCCTCCTCTCTGCTGGGCTGCATGCGTATTGGTGAAGAGGACATCTTGATCATCTTCCTCTTCCTCGCTTTTTGCTAATTTCCAACCCAGCAGAGAACTGTGGACCCCCTAAGGAGGAAAAGGTCTCCTGTCATTTTTCACCACAACTGTATCCCAATGAACCCATGGGATATTCTAACATACAGTATAATTTTCCTGGTAAGTTGCTGCTATTTCATATTTAGAGGGTATTTATTTATTTACCTTTACTGGACATGTATATTTGTAATTATGCCTAGGCTGATGCTTTATTTTGGATGAGCTGTCTTGCACAGATTTATAGATTGAGAATAATTGAACTTCTTGTCTGTGACACACTTTTGGTAGGAAATATTACACATGTTTATATGGAAAAGGATTTAAAGTTCTTATATTTATAAAGTGAACATGAGCCTGCCAAGTTATGAAACTTTATTTGGAAATAAAGGTTCTACTTAAGTGTTCTTAAGACAGTAGTATAAACATTGGAAATGTAAACGCCAAAGATATGATCATCGCCAAAGGAGGAGATTTAAAATTAGGTTCTTAATTCCAAATAAATATGCTGTTTTGACAGAACCTCTTCTCTTTGCCAGTAAGCTGGTGGGCATCTGTTATGTTTCCATTCCTTGACAGACACAATAAATATCCTGGAAGTCCCCAGAATGTACATTTATTTGAAATCAAAAGTAAGTCCTTCCAAAGAAACCTCCAGTTTCTTTGTTCAAGCATGAACCTTTTTCGGGGTTAAGAGCAGTGCATTTAGGGGAACCATTAAGAAGAGTCATCCTAAAGACTTGCAGGTATTGCAGACTATAAATGTAGGTGCCATGAGGGTTGAAGGATGGTGCAGTCGACCTCGGGGCACTGTGCAGGCAAGGCAGCTGTGATTGCATTGACTGATAGAAATGGGCTTTTTTCACTATTGGGTGCTAATGGAAAGGTGGGGAGAAAGCAGTAGAAATCCCTTTGTTTGTCCCCCTTTTTTTTTTTCTCTCCAGTGAATCTGTACTTGTAAAATTCATTTATTCTGATTGATCACTTCTGTGCCTTTGGTCTGCACAGCCAGTTGCTATTTTTGCAGAGCTCAGGAGGATGCAGATTGAGGGCCTGATTCTCACATTGACACCACGGCAAACCAAGAGTAGTCACTAGTCACTGGGCTCATCTCAATGTTAGGCTGTTATTCACAAAAGAATCCTTGCCTGAGACAGTTGTCCAGGTTTAACTTTAAACATAAGTCTTAGTCCCATTGCTCTCAGTGGAAGCAGTTCCTGAAACATATTTATATCTAGTCCTCGAAAGGGACATTAATTTAGTATTTGAAAAGTTGGGCCCCAAGATACATGGACATACTACTCTGCGTTCATAAAGCATGAACAATTAATTTAAAATCTTTTTCATTATTCTTTATATGTGTGGGATTTTCAAACCAAACATTGAATATAATAGTATATAGCGTAAGGGAGTCCCAAACATATGACATAAAAGAATAAATTGAACACAAAAAAGATGTGTTAAAATGAAAGTGAAGGATTTGAAAATACATTGAACAAACTTACCTTGTTTTTTCTTTTTCTTTTTTTTTGTTGTTTTTTACTGCCATTAAATGTATGATGTGCCAATACATCATTAAAGCTTTTTTCTCAGAATGATTTTTTTTTTCCAAATTTTCCAGTCTTGCAACAGGAATGCAATTGGTTCCTTTGTGCCTACACAAGCTCATCAGTGCACCCATAGAATTACCACAGATTTAAGAATGTTGCAACACTTTCTTGAATGGCAAATTGCAACAAATTAATATTTATATATCCTTGAAGCTGTTTTGTTGGATGCTCGTTCTGGCTCTGTTACTTGCCAAGAGGCTGTCATGATCCAAGTTCATACCATAGACTCTGAAAAAACGAACATATATCGTAAAAGAGGGGAAGAAAAGTCCTTCCCTCTTGAGCCAGCCATTTGACATAAGGCAAACATCTTTCTTTTGACAGATGGAAATGTAATCTCTGCATAGTCTTTCAGCTTTGTTTGACAGTTGGCTTTGAAAGCTAGAGAGAGCAGAGCTCCCTGCACAGAGCTAGGTATGGGTTTGAAGCAGTATAGGTGTGCCTGTGCCACACAGTGCATTACTGTACCTGATCTGTAATGTGCAGAAGCAATATATTCATGTACGTGTGGTTCTGTGTTCAGGTTTGTAAGCCCTACCTCTCAGCATGGCTAATTAGCTCAGGTCAGGAGTGCCTCATTAATACAACTACATCGTAACCGGTTCTGTGTCTGAGGATTATGGGAGCTCTGCAGAATTCCTTATTGCATGGTGTAAACGTTTTAAGATCCTAGGTGTATAGGCGTCAGTGTTAAAGTAAACTTGCCAGCCTGAAACAAATTCACACAAAAGATCAGTCTTTCCATTGATGGAAATCAGGGGAAGAGACAGATTCTAAAACATAAAGAATTCCTCATTTTCCTCATTAATTCTAGGGGTAAAATAGGTCATTTGTCTGAGAAGAAAATGGGGAAAGCCAGCTGAGAGAGTATGAAATGTTATTCAGTTTTAAAGTCCTTATAGTATAAAGATTAGTTCAAAGCAATCAGGGAAAGAGATGAGATGAGAACTCAGCCTGCTGGCTGTCGGTCCAATGTAACTTTGGTAAGGCGAGGATGAATGGGATAAGTAGTTAAAGAAACTGTCATAATTCCTTTGCACAGGAAAAAAAGAATAATCTTACATGGAAAATTTGGAAAGGGTTTAGGAAAGAAGTAAAATACAGATACATATTTGCTGTCTGGAAACCTGCCCCACTGCGAGGGAATTTAAGAACCTCACCTAAGAGAACATTAAGACATGACTTGGTCCCAGTTTCTCCAGGCTCCTTAATTTAGCAGACAATAGCATAGTGAGAGCCAGTGCCTGGGAAATAAAGCAAAATAATTCTGCACAGAAACAAATCACTTTAAATTGGGAAGTTTCTGCTCATTGGAATAAGGGAGGTAATAGAATACCTCTTTCAAAGTCTTTCGATAAGGATCAGATTTCATTCTGAAGATATGTGTTGCTTACCCAGATGTTACCTGATTGATAGAAGAATTGTCAGCTGAAGTATCATGTCTTGTGCTATACAGAAGAAAGAAACAGTTGATCATAAGGTGCTCTCTAGTCGTAACTCCATTCAGGTATTCTTCATGTTTGAATATCTTAATTTCACAGAATTCACAGAATTCACAGAATTCACAGAATTCACAGAATTCACAGAATTCACAGAATTGTTAGGGTTGGAAGGGACCTCTGGAGATCATCTAGTCCAACCCTCAACCTAACCGTTTTATTCATGGTTTTATACAATATTTTTAGCAAGCATAAAATAAAAACAAAACAATCCCTTGCACAAATACCATCATACAGAATCCCATACCTTTTGTAGCATTTAGATGTAGAACTCTTGGGCCATTTCAAGATCTCTGCTGCTGCCACCACAGTGTGGGTATCAATATTAACCTACTGTCCTTCATGTGTAATGGTTACCAAAGGAGCTCTGACACATGTACTTTTCCAGGGTGCTACACAGTTAATAAATAGTCCTCAGAAAAATATTCGCTGTCAGCATTCCTGGAGTTTATGCCTGGATTTAGGAGGGGAAGATGACAATGATATCAGTAAGTGTAGGAAACCACAGGAATTTAATACTGTCAGTCTGGATGTTTGGACTTCATGTTTTAGATTTAGATTTGCCTCGTTTGCAGTCTTCAGTAAAGTGAAGGCAATGATCTACGTTTGCTTTCTCTGGGCAGGGAAGGTAAGAGTTTATTCAGTACTAAACACTTTAAAAGGATACAGCTGTATTTTAACAGAAGAGAAGAGATAAGGAAAGATACAAGGCATGACCTCCTAGCTTGAACCAGCATGAAGAGGGAGGGAGAGAAAAAAGGGTTCACCTAATGATGTGGGAGAGGAGCTGCACAAGTTTGTGGTCCCAGTTACATCATTTGATTTGTCTCACACTAGCCACTAGCAATGGGATGTGAGAAAGAGGGCAGGAAATCCTAATGGCTCTTAGCTCCTTTTAAATGTATGCCTGCTTTCTTAAGGGCACAGAGAGAAGTTGTGTTGACTCATGTACCTGGTTTATATCAGTGCAATTATGTGCAGCACTGTAGTGACACTTTGCAGTTCAAAGCTTTTTCAGTTGTGCCTGTGGTCCCTTTTCCTTCCTGCCTTCCTAGCGTGTTCCTATTGCACATTATGCCAGTTCATCAAAACAGCTATTTTCATGGATGCAGAGTTATTTTTAATTAATGTACGTGGTCAACCTATTTAGCATGCCATAACTGGATATATTTTTAGACGGGCACATGTTGCAGCTTATGGCAGGATTAAAACTACATTTCAGAAAGGATGTCTGGGGAAAAAAAAGCAAACAACCTTTTACTGATTACAAAGCAAAATTACACTGATGTGGAAATCATTAAAGCAGCCTGCTGTGACTCAGTGGTTAAAGGACGTAAAAGATACCTTTCAGCAAATCAAATGTAATGCAAGGGGAAAAAAAAAGCCCAAGGTGCCAATTCTAGATATGCTCAGGGCTCATTTGAGGGAACCACAGAGCAATTGTGAGGCTGTTCTGCAGATCTTATTGTTAGTTTCCTGGCAGAAGTAGATGTATCTATCCTGTGTCTTCGATGTTTCTTTGACTACTTTGTAGAGAGATTACAAGAGAGACCTTGGTGAAACCCTCTGGACTTTTTGCTCCAAATCAAAGCTGCTTCTTTCTGAAGCAGAACAATACTTCCACAGCCAAACAAATCTCTCCAGGCATGTAACTTTCTGCTGAAATTCCAGCTACTGATTCATCCCACCCAGTTCACTCTTTTCCTTTAGAACACTGAATCACATTTTCATAACTTTATATTTAGGAGGAAAAAAGGCCTTCCTGAACAAACTTCCCAACTTCACTCAGGGTTCCTCAAGCTGATGATATTAAACTAGGGTGAGTTTAACATCTTCACTGCAATCAAATTATATTTTACCAAAAACATTCTTCTTTTTTCTTTTTTTTCTTTTTTTTCCCCCCACATGCGGATTGTGAGTCTGTCTGCCTAGCCCTTGTACAAGTTCTAAAAATAGTCTTCAAAATCTGTCTCTAGATGCATGTACAACAACCTTGTGGAACTTGTTGGAGGTTTGTAGTGGAGCTAAAGATGTCACTTTGATACAGGAAGGGAAAGCTAGCTAGAATCATTTTAGGCATAAAGATTATGCAATAATATCTACAATCATATGGTAGTCTGTGGGATCAAAATACAAGTTTAACACTGACCCTGAACAGATATCCGTGTACCCTTGAGGAGACAGAAGAATCCTGAGAAGATCCGAGCAAACAAGATAAGGGGTGGCAAACATCCTGGCTTTTCCCTGAGCACGAACACCGCGTGATCAACAATTGTATTGGCTGAATGGTGTGTGATGTGAGAGTGGATTGGGCAAAAGTAGAATGTTAGAATATATGCACAGATAAGCAACCAGCTAAGAGGATATAAAAGAGCACTGCTTGTAAAATAAAGGGATGATTGCTGTAACTGGATATTGAGTGTCGTGTCCGTCTCTACAATGACAGTAGTCTAATACCAGTCTGCTTTTAGACATTTCTAAGCTTTTAATTATGAAAAGTTTGGTTTAAGTCCTTAACCTGCCAGGGACTGGGATCTGAAAGGATTAAAAATGGCTTATACTGTTATATTCTCTTTTCTTTCTATCTTCAAAATTACACTCTCAAGGAAAATTTGGGCATAAATATAACTATTTGTGATCATGGCTATCTGCATATGAATTTCCTACTGAATCTGAACTGCTCCACTGTCCTTCATACCTCCCCAGACCATCTGAAGGGAAATTCGTATGTCCTCATGCAACAAATACATATTGAAGATTGTGCAAGAAAAAGATTTAAAACATATTATGTGCACTTTTCTCCACAGTTTGCAATAAGAACTGTTGATTGTTGTAAATTCAAAACATGTGTGTGCTTCTCATAGGCTGAGGTTCTATGAAATGCCAAGCATAGCCTAAAATGCAGCCTAAAATATTAAAACATACATGAAGGACTTACCAGCTAAATTCTACGCACAAACTTCAATAGGTAATCCTCTTCAGGAAGAGTGTTTCTTGACCTAGTAAATAACAGTTGAATATCTCTGAGACAATCTGAGCCAGCATCTGCTTTTACAGCAGCATGAATCAGAAATAACTGCGTCAAGGACAATACATTCTTCATCTTATTTAGATTAAAATGTACTTTGGTGCCCAGCTGTCGAGCTATTGGTGTGGATATGTTGGCTGGTCACATTCTGAAAACTGCAAGTTTTGGTTTTTGTACAGTTGGATAAGTGGAATGAGTGTCCTTTCAACTGTACCAGTAATGAAAACATACAGAAAATATTTCCATTACAGTTGAACTCTGTGTGCAGTTATGGAAAGAAACTTCATTAAACAAAGTGAAACATTTCCTAGAATTCCCCTACCACATCCATATATTATGCTAATTTACTTTGAATTTAAGAATTTTGATCCTCTTTCTATGTTCTGCGTTGTAGCAGCAGTTGTCTTCATCACATTTGTTCTGAAGTCTTTTGAATTCCAGCTTTGCATTTTCAAGGCTTTTATTAATGCGGAGACCAGCCAGTTTTTCTGCATTCTACAGGCTTGGCAGCAAAAGAAGAAAAACACCCACCAAACAACTGAATCTTTTGTTCTCTGGGGCCCAGATCTCTTCTCTCTCCTTCCAGCATGCCTTGAAAAGCAGCAAAAGTGGTGTGGTTGTATTTGGTAAGTTACAGTAGAGCTTCAAACATTGTGAGCTTGGAAAATGTATCCTCCTTTCCTTTCCAAAGTATGAGAAAGTGGCTGTTGCACTGGACTACTATGTTGGATATAGAAGAATCACCCATTCCCCTGCACCATCCCATACTATTACTACCGTGCTGGGAAATGAAGTGTTTGTGATCAGTAAATGGATAACGTTATGGTGTGTTCTTTCATGCCATTCTTAAGCAGATTCTGAGCTGCAATTGCAAACCACTCTAGGATTTGAAGCTACCATTGCTAGTCCTGAAGTGTCACGAGATACCTCTGTCCGAACCATGATTTTACAGTTGTATGGAGGTAATGGTGAACCTCGGCCAGGTAGTTCTGAGGTGGATTTTTGAATAATTTTTTATTTTACTTTTGCTTTTCTTTGATAAGGCAATGTTATACTCTGTGCAATGAGGAAGGGAATCTTGCAGAACCATTTCCTCTGGTTCTACCCCCAGTAAGGATTTCTTCAACCTTTATGAAACTCTACAGCCCATTTAGGCACTAGTCCTGCCATTGACAGGTTGTGTCCAGAGCAGCAGCAAAAGTGCTTCTAGAAGGGGCAGATGCTGAGAACAAATTTATTCTGTGTTTCCCATTGCTGAGGAAGAGAAGCATCAAGCTGAAGAAGCAAAGAACCCAAACAAGCTGGAATGTAGAAGGGGAGACAGTCTAAAGGCTGGTAGGATCTGGGAAAGGGAGGACTTTCCTTGAGTAGAGATGCCTTAACATCTAATTATTTTGCTATGACAGTATCTATATTCTTTATGAACTGGAAGAGTCTTTTTAGCAATTACTAACGTATGTAGTGCATTTAGTATATCAGGGGCTTAGAGAAGATTCAAAATCCCTTTGAGACACTAGATAAATGAAGAGAGGCCTTATAAAGTGGACCAGTTTTTGACTCACATGATAAGCTATCCAACTAATTTTATGAAGTTTAAGTTAGAGCCTTAAATCACAGTGAAGATGTTTCCTATGGGAAACTCCCTTATAGGCTTAGAAAATCCTAAGATAATTGAATTAAAGATTATTTTATACCATATAGATTCACAAAACAATTTAATATAATTTCTAGAGGTTTTTATAGCATGGCTTGATAATAAGAGTCTATTCATGCTTGTCTGGGTACATGGGTATACATTCATCAGTAATGCTCACATCTCAAACTCATGTTGAAGTGCTGGGCTTTACAACACAGTCATAGACTCACTATGAATGTAACATATGAGTGATTTTATATGAATATTTTATATGAATATTATGCTGGGTATGTTCTGTTAAGGATTACATCTTCCATATTCATGGCCACATGAGCCAGTAGGTCCTACAGTAACGTTTGGGGTCCGTTAAAGTTGCTGCCTTAACATACGCACTGCTGCACTGCTTTGGAATCATAAAATCATCGAATCGTTTTGGTTGGAAGAGACCTTTAAGACTTTAAGATCACCAAGTCCAGCTGTTAATCTAGCACTGCCAAGTTACCACTAAACTATGTCCCTGTAAGCCCATGTCCCCTGCCACTAAACCTGTCCCGTTAACAGACCCCAAACTCTTGTGGGTGTGCAGAATTGCCAGCGTGTTCTGACCTTGACCATGGCTCTGTGCGGCCTTCATTTTTCTCCTTTCTGAGCCTGCTCCACCCCTCCAGGAACCTTTCAATGTGTTGTGCAAAAATGCACACATAACTGTTCAGCTTTGCAAGATTTTGCTAACAAGAAAAAAACCCAAAAGATCTCTCTAAAATCTCTGGTTTAGATTTCATTTTATTTGTCATCTTTTATGAACAAATTACGAAATGTACTTAATTCACAAATTGGAAATATTTACAATTTCTTTACAACAAGGCATTGTTGAGGTTTTGATTTATGGCATTCTTAGAGCATTCTGTCTTTCAAAACAAAGACATCGGTGTTGTTTTCAGCACACTGTTCATTTACACTCTGAATGTGAAATGGGAGCCTTTTGGAAGAGTAATTTGCACTCTCTTTTGATATGATCTACTGGGAGAACGGAGGCTGGATGCATTCACCATGTGGGGAGAGGGACTGTGCAGATGTGTTGCTGGTACCATGCCACGTGATCTGAAGCCATCATATTACACCAGATGCTGCTAAGTGGGGAGGAGAAAAAGATTCCCCCGAGCCATCCTTCCTCTGCCCTCTTCTCTTCTCTTTAGGAATCCTGTGAACGGCTAAATGTGGTCCAGTTTAATTATTTTTTCTGGTTTTTGAGTCTTCATGAGAAGAGGACTCTTGAGAAGTCTATTTCAAATGCTATCACAATTCTGAAAAGTTATTCAGACAAAAAAACCCAAAAGAGAGTAGCCAGGAAGTGAATAAATATTGTATATCCGCAAAATGTTTAGGAGACAAATTTTGAACATGTTTCTAAAAGGGAAATGCAACTGTGCTGTTCTGCATTTGTGACACTTGAGCCATAAAAGCTAAGATAGTTCAATTTTCTCAATTTCTTGGAGTTTATTTTTTTCCTGAAGAAAATTCTAAAACCACTTCTTTCCATGGAACTTTTAAAAATCTCTTAATATACACTTCCATTATAAATCAGATGTGGGCCACCATTGCTTAGGTTGTCTGTCATTTCCTGGAACAAGAATAAAAAACACTGATTAAAATTACAATTATTTTATGGTGTTTGAAATTCAGTCAGCTAAGGTTGTAACAAAAAAATTAATAAACTCTGAATTTCAAACAGTCAGAAAAAATCTTGATAAATCTCACTGTAAAGAAAAAAAAAAAAGAAATCACATTTCTTCCTACATAAATTAAGTACACTTGATACTGATTGAGTTGGACATTACTCTCAGACCACATATACAGCATTGATGGCATCCGTGCAAGTTTTGTGATGTTGTCCTTTGAAAGTGCATCAACTCAAGCTTGTGTGGTAATCTACAAAGGAACAAGATGGTAATTAAGTCTTCATTTCCATTCAAACCTTTTTCTGTGCTGACATGCTACAAACAGATGCCATTCGATGCTAGGTGGGATAGACATTTGGGAAGTAGGTCTAGATCCAAACAGGATCTAAGGGGTTTGACTCCTTGCCTTGGGATGGCACTGATTTTGGTTTTCCCTTGATATGCCAGACTACAATTTTTAGCGGTTCAGCAATTGCTACTCAAGTGGCAGATGAGTCACCCTGGAGTAAGCTGACCTGATAATGAGTCAGAATCCTAAAGCACCTAACCCAAAATTTGGTTGGAGTTAGATTTTCTAATTCTCAAATTGCAATCCAAACAATACCTACTTAGCAGCTGTCTAAGCCTGGAGATGGCTACACTAATTAAGCAGATGTCTGACCTTCAAGGCTGCAAAGAGACATAGAGTTTATGCTCAGAACTGCCTTATTCTGAGCAGTCCTAGGCCTGTTTCGTACCAAATTGAATCCGGATGCAGAAATGAAGTGATCCGCTGCTTATGTCCAATGGCAGATCCCAGAGAACATCCAACCATGCCAAGAGGAATGGGCATACATAAAAATGCAGTTTGGGCTATTCCTTTTAAAATTCAGGTAGATGAGCTGAAGGCACCACTGTTGGGCTAGTTCTAAAATATGTGCATGAGAACCAGAAGCTCTCCTCTGCATTCCATGCAGATTAAATTCACCTCTTCTACCTCCTAGGTACACTTGGAGAAAACGTGGAAGAAAAGGGATTTATTTGGCCCCCTTCTTGTGGAAGTTTCTATGAAGAAAGTAAAGCAAGATTCACTGGGTGAAACAGAGAGAGAGAAAATCAGAAAGAGTGAGCCAAACTCTATAGTATAGTATCTGAGATTCTTGGTTAAGAGAAGAAAAATCTGGGACCTGGTCTTTATTTCTAGTCTTACTCTTTCTCTCTCTTTTAATCCACAATATTCGATTTATAAATAGTTTGGGAGGCAGAGACAGGAACTCAGAGTTTAACATAAAGCGGAAGCACTGGTGCCTCCTCTCTCAGGTGTTACCAGCTACATTTTAAAGTAGATCACAAGACTTAACTGTTCCCTCCACAGTTTCTGAAAGAAAGGATGTCCTGTTCCACTTTACAAAGTAAACTTGGGGGCATCAAAACAAGTAGCATTGCCAATTAATACTCCTGAATCAAGCGTAAGCTTCAAAGAAAATAAGGTGTATAAACTTACTGAATTTTGAGCATTTTCTACCACCCAGCTCGCCATTTGGCAGGTGATGGTGTTGGATGTTTTTGTACAGTGCCTTATTCTCCTCCTATACTGAAAGGGAACGTGCATGCCTAACACTGGACTCTGGATCCCAGTTTGGGGGCTGTCTGCTCTGAAATGAGGCACTATGTTTTTCCTCTTTGTAGGTGCCTAAATCCTTTGTTGGATCTATGCTGAAGATATCAGTCAGCTGGGAAAGGGACCAAGAATAGCATTTAATACTAACTATCAGTCAATCACAGGTTGATAGTAATGATCTGTCAGAAGGCTACTCATGAGTGAGTGTAAGTTTCCTTTTGTCAGCTTTATCGTTTGAATCCTCTGCAGACATCAGCTATTAGAATATCATCATAATTTCAGAAAGCATTGAAAACCATTTATTTCCCCCAATATTTCTATTTAAAAAAAAAAAAAGTATTAAAAAATGTTGCCGAATTCGAGAAATGAAGGAGCACACAGATTAGAAGCAGAGTGAGTCAATGGTGGCAACATCCAAATAGAAGCATTTGGATGTCTATAACTAGGGTGAATATTTTAAATACTCAACTTACTTCCAGATTGCAGCATTCACCACGTAGAATTATGTCACTACCTGGAAGCACCATTCCTGACTCAGAGTGACATCACAGCATCAGCCAACTTTGATTAGCTGAAACTATGACTTGCTCTTAGAGGTGGCCCTTCCTGAAGTGACATAACAACATGGTAGCTCCCTAGTGTTCAGCGTACCTTGGAGGTAACTCTGGTGTCGGGGGAACCACCGGGCAGCTGGGCAGGTCGGTTATTTCAATACCCCTCAATCTCTAATATAAATATAACAATTATACAATAAATATAGCACAAACAAATGCACATGCAGTACATGTCTATATTACTGTATATCAGTATAAATATACAAAATAGTCTTATATATCAAACAATTTATAGCTATTTTCTAAATCAGGGCCTAATTTAATATAAGTTTTTAAGTAGCCTTCATTATTTTTCAGGGGCATGCCTTGAGCTAATGTACTCAAACCTGCCAGCAGCAGACCATCCGCAGGCTGTAGGTCTATGAAGTCTCAGATCAGACCATCTACGCATGCATACTTGATGCTACAACACACGTGCAGGGAGTCCACCATCGGTGGGGCGCATCCCACATTCGCTGAGCATGTGCAATAGGGTTGCTCTGCACATGCATCATGGCCCTTCCCCCAAGGTAAGTGGGCACCTGGCAGTCCTCACTGCTAAGTGTCTAAAAGCTCAGTAGGTCATCAGGCCAGGAAAGGAGGCAGTGAACTACTGGTTCTACATGTGAACTACATGGTCATTTTCAGCCTCTCTCTTTTTCTCCCAAATGGGCTTCATCTTTGTCCTTGTTAGGGCAAGAGCATCTCTGAGAGGCAGGATCTAGCCTACCATCTGCAAGGCCGTGGTCATACTTGCCCACATAGCTCATCAGAATTCTGCTTCATTTTAAAATGAGAGAGAGAAATGTATCTCTTCCCTTGAGTTTATCACCCTGTTTTATTACTGTTGTAACCTATACTATTTAACTTTTCAAAACATGTTTCAAATATCCTCTAAGGTGAATTCAGTCTTTATTTCTGCTTGGAGTCTCCTCTCAGTTAAGAAACCAAAGAATAGTGACAAGTAATTTTTACTTAATGGACAATTAACTGCTATATCACATTTTGTCAGGGAATTGGAAAACATTCTACAGTCTGAATGAATTACTCCTCACTCTGCTGTTCAGAGGTCTCAATAGATATGATACAGACTGTTGAACTTAACTGTAATGCAAACTTTCACGTGGAGGTTTAGATGGGCAGCCCACTTGACTTTTGCTCCCTTCTCTACTCATTTCTCCAATGAAAGGCATGGGATAAGAAGTCCAAATGTAAAGTACAGGGTGTCAATGAACATTTTACTTCTCAAATAAGAATCAGATCTGTAACTCCAAGGAGCTGATTTCAAGAATTCTTTTCTATTAATTCTTTTGGCCCTCCACTCTTAACTTTGGGAGCTTAAGTTTCAGCCCCTAAACATGGACCTTGACACCTTGGTAAGCTTCCTTTTAACAGAGAAAAGCAGTAAATGCTGTAAATGCGCAGTGCTGCTGCAAATCAGACCAGTTTCGTTTAGGTGTCTAAATATGCCCTTAGGTGCTTAGGTTTAGTCATCTAGGTTTGTGAACTGTGGCTTTTGTGTTTAAATAACCTACTTTATAAGCTGAGTACTTGGGAGAGGAAGAAATTGATTAAATCCTTGAAGCATGCAATGATGTGGTTACAGAAAGCATTCTGTGCTTTTTCATAGTGCAATACATGATAATCCATATTAATAAGGCTTCCAATTATTTATGGAATGCTATATTTAGCAGCTAAGCCCTCGAACGGCTATACAATGGAATTATGTTGAAAATGGATGTACTTCATTGAAATGGATGTACTGCAAGTATACAGTACCTAAAAATAGCTCCATATAATGCAACATAATAAAGCTTACACAGAATGGCAGCGTTTCATTTCCCAGAAGCTCTTTCTCATATAAAACTGAAAACAGAATACATCTCTTGCCAATTGTAAATGTTAACACATACAATACAGTAGCATTTTAGGACTAGCAGAACAAATAAATGAGGACACACAACTCACTTTTTCTGCCATTTCATGAGAGTGATGCAATGAATGTTCTCTTTCTGAGAACATTCGCCTTTGTTCATAGCTGGCTAGCCGACAAGTGAGCCATGAAGAAAGGGTGCAACCACCAATTCCAATGCATGCAAGAGACATGGAGGCAAGATGCAAAGAATAGAGAGCGGTCGACTTCTTTGTCAGAGCACGAAGAAATTGAAAATTTAGGATTCCTCCAATTAGTCCACAGATGCAACAGGCAGAAAAAAGTATCATCTGTCAAGAAAGACAAGAGAGGTTATGTCACAGTAACATTTGTCAGAGACAGAATCATTCATATAAAAATGAGACTAACCATAATTCAATGCTTTGATAGCATCATGGGCTGCAAAACACTACACAGACACTCATTTTTATCTCCCTTAGCTCCCACGGAGCTCCAAGGGAACACAATACCTTCTGGTGTACAAGGGTTAAGACTGATGTTGCATGTAAGATAAAGTTGGGGAGAATGCGTTGCTCATGTTAAAAGCTAGTCAAAGGGAGGGCTACTAGGACACAGAATCTTTTGATTTCCAGCGTTTCATTCAAAACAGTAACATGGCAGAATATGTCTTAATTTTCTATTGTGCAGTTTCTCAGCACTCCTCAGGAGTGAAAGCCTCATGTATTCGCAGTGAATCTCTCTTGCTTTGTGTGCCTTCTGACTCTGCCTCCTGTTCAATGCTAATTTGTTCAGTCAGCAGTCTGGAGGCTTTCTACAGCTTTTGTGGGGACTTCAAAAGTGTTCAAGGTGAATGTGCTGGACAAAGAAGCAAAAGAAACAAAGAAGTCTCTGATGCAGCTCAGGTCAGTGTGGTGACTATGTGTTTGTTTGTTTGTTTTTAACTTGGTTAAAATGTTTCTGGGAAATTTAGAAGGATGGGAAACAGGCTGCAATTAATGAGACATGTTTAAAGACCTCCTATCACTTTAATCACAAAGATACGACCCTGGTTCAGGATGTCCTTTAGCCACAAATGACTCGACGGCAAAAGAGCTTATTATGGAGACACTGCTAAATTATTGTCTTATTCACTTCTCTTGACTGCTGGCCTATCAGATGCTGATCTAGATGGGCCTCTGATGTTACTCAGTATAGCTTTGTATACATACTTATCTACTGTGGTAGCAAGAATTTATGGAGCCTTACAGACCACTTCTGTACACAATTGGGATGGGAATTGAATCAGGAATGTGGCATTCAGGCTGTGTGCTGCAGTCCACTGAGAAGTGACTATTCCATGAGACCACCAGAACAGACAGCTTTTAGAAACTGGTTATGGTCCACATGCTTTAAGAAATGAGACTGTCATTGTAACAGGGTTTAGGCTAACTCACTGATATGCAAAAATAATCAGAGATCTTGATTCCCTTCACACTTATGCTGGTTTTACGTGACTTCCATCTGTACATGGCAGAATAACCAAGCTGACAAAATTAAGCCAGACATTGTCACTTACAAAAGGATCATGTCTTTAACATAAAGTTCTGCTGTGACACCATTTTGCTGCAGTCAGAAAAATTACTGTACTTCTGATTCTTAGACAAGACAGAAAACATCCCCCATCGCTTTAACACTGGCTTATTCCTGATTCTGATTGCAAAAAATAACTTATTAAAACAGTGAACAGCTATGATACCTAGGATCAAACTTTGTCAGCAGCCTCACTGAGGTGGCAGCCCAGTCATACCACACTTCACAGAAATGGGTTTTGAAGGACAGAAGTTACAATCCAGTGAATTTATTGGGGAAATTTTTATTGACTTGGCATAAATTTGTGTCGACGAGTTTTCCATCCATATTTATCCAGACAGGGATAAACAGGGATGTGTGGCTTAAATAGGCATGAACTAAACAGGCCATTTCAGGACTGCCTTGTTTTGCTTGATTAACCCAAAATGTTGATTTTTTTTTTTTAGACTGCTGACTTGAAATTTCTGCTGATTTTTTATCAGAAACACTTAGACACAGAAATCCCCTAGTCAGGAGTTCAAGTTAGATAAGTATGCCTTTCAGATACTTATGTGTTATATATGCAGTGGAAAAACTTACAACAAGTCCAGATTTTTTTTTGGCGCACAATATTCCACATATACCACAAAGCAGAAACTGCAAAGAAAAAAAATACCAATTATTTCGTCATTTAAGGTCTTAAGTTTAAATCCTGCTGTGTTGCTGTAGTGGTGACCACAGCAGTAAGTTAGGCAATGGTTACAGTTGTTGTCAGCATTTTTATCACAAACCTTATGTTTCAGGAAGTTATAACTCAACCATAAACACACTTATCCGAGAAGAAGAAACTGGAATGAGAAGTCAGACTGAGGATGATTACTCATAAAAAAAGAAAAAAAAAAATCCTACTTTTAAGTTGCTTAGGTAAACAAAACATGAAAAAAAACCCAATATTGCAAGCAAACCTCTATTTTTTTCTACGAAAAGTTTAGCAAGGTGGTAGTCAGTGATCCAAATCTACTTTCAAGCATAGCTGAGGAACTTAATGCCCTGATCCTACAGTGTGAACCACTGAGGGATCATACATCGATTGTTGTCCTCAAATCGGTGGAACTCTGGGCAAGAATGACATTCAGTCACCTCTGTGGGTGCAGGTGTAAGTGCGAGTACATCTGTTGGTGTGGCTACACTGAACATGCAGGAAAATCTGTTTCAGATTCTAGATAACCCACTTTGCAAGAGACATAGCATGAAAGTATCTGTACTTTTTTCATGTAGGTCCTTTCACAAACTGGTCTGCTAATTGTTGAATCAAGCATTAGGCAACACCTAATTAACAAAAAACAGAAATACCCCCTACCAGCTGATATGAATAGATGTTAATGCTTTTTAGTGACCTGTGTCAAAGACTGATGGCATTCTCTGATGTCTCTTTTTCCTCCTCCAAAAAAGTTTAACAAGGGAAACAGCAAACAGTCCCTGAGGGAGCAGTCATAGTAGGAACTGCAGTAGTTGTTTGAAAACAATAAGGCCTTCTCCACGTGTTTGTAATATTGTCAAAAGATTTCTTCAATACATCATAAACTCCTTTATTAAGAAATCTGTGCTACTTATTTTCAGTAAAGCTAACCCTACACCCCTATTGGGAAGTAATTTTATAGTTATAAAACTGGATTTTTCCACATCCTTTTTGCACTGAGATGGTATTTCTAGCAAAAGGCTCTGCTTGACCTTGATTTAGGATTAAATCATGGAACAGACCTGGCTGTTACATAAGAAGTGAAAAAAAAATTAAGCAGTTTCTATACAGCACTCAGGGTCCATGTAATATATTGCATGTCCATCTTATTTACCCTCCAAAATTTTGCAACTTCAGTATCTCAGTTGAGGAGGTGCTTTAATACCTGGTTCATTTCCCTCCAACTGAAGTAGTTCATGCATATAGCTAAGTATAAGCCTTGAGATGTATTTTTACTCTGAGTTAGGCCCATTGAATCAGTTCCCAGAACTAATATGGTTAATTTGGGTTTTTTTTATATATATATTATTTACCTCTATACTAAGGTTGGGATGTGGCTTAATACCAATCCCATTATGGAGAGGGCCAGCTCAGGTGGCGCTGAACGGATCTGGGCATACAACTGGGAATTGCTACTAAAGCTCACCCATCGGAATAACAATCAAAAAACCAATGGGTAAGGCTCCTCTGCCCCTTTCCCACAGGCAAAGGAGATTTCAGCTCAGAACTATCACACCTGCCCTGTAAGTTTTCACTCAGGCTTTCTGTGAAGTTTTGGAGTCTCACTCCCGATCCTGTTATTGCAGATTGCCTTCAACTGAAGGCGTGCTTCAAGTTTTCACAAGTAGTGTTTTATATATATCAACATTAATGCAGAAATCTCAAAAAAAGAAATTGCTCAAGACATCACTGTAATTAAGTTCTTTTCAGTCAGATTTGATAAAGCAGATTAATAATATAAATTCTCTGTAGTGATTGAATATGACTAAGAGGAAAATTTTGTATAAGGAAAAATTTATGAGTTCTGGAAAGCTTACAGAAAGAATCTGGAAGATACCATCAAAGATAGTTTCAACTTGTAACAACTGTATTTTAACTATTTAGTTTAAAAAGCTGGGGTTTTGATAATTTACCTTCAAAGGTGAAAGAATAGGTCACCCATTTTTTCAAGAATGCTCTAATTGTGCTCCTGTTAGAGTTAATGGATTTTTTACCATTGATTTCAATCAGTGAAGACCTTCTATTTCTACTGTACAGTCTTTGCTAGCCAGAAGGGAATGTAATCAACAAGTTGCATATGACCAAAAGAGCAACAAGACAATTACAGATTCACTCAGCATTAGAACCCACCAGTTGGGCAGTTCTGCTATTCTTTACTGTTTTTCAAGGACAGGACACACACCTTTCCAAGCCACCTTTATGTAGTGCCATATACACATATATTACCTACGGGGTTTCCCACTTGAAATCCAAAGAACAGTGAATGAGCTAATCTGCAAGCCATAAGGTACTGGCTTCTCAAAATCAAGGGATGACTACTGTATTCCAGAGTTGTTAAAATATCTGAGGGACTACCTGGAGTAATGATCAGGATGCAGGTGTCAAATGTACATTAGGTAAATTTGCCGATGGTACTAAATTAGGAGGAGCTGTGGACTCCCTCGAAGGTAAGAGGCCTTACAGAGAGATCTGGACAGACTACAGAGCTGGGCAATCACCAACCATATGAAATTTAAAAAGAGCAAGTGCCGGATTCTGCACCTGGGACAGAGTAGTCCCAGTTATGCATACCAACTGGGGAATGAGAGGCTGGGGAGCAGCCTCACAGAAAGAGATCTGGGGGTTTGGGTTGATGGCAAGTTGAATATGAGTCAGCAGTGTGCCAAGCACAGCAAGCTGGTTGTGGGAGGTGAACGACCCACTCTACGCTGCACTGGTGCAGCCCCACCTCGGGACTGTGTGCAGTTTTGGGTGCCTCAATATAAGAAGGTCATCAAACTATTAGAGTGTGTGCAGAGGAGGGCAAAGATGGCGAAAGATCTTGAGGGCAAGACTTATAAGGAGCATCTGAGGTCACTTGGCTTGTTCAACTTGGAGAAGAGAAGGCTGAGCAGTGACCACATCACAGTCAACAACATCCTCAAGGGGGGCAAAGGAGGGGGAGGAGCTGATCTCTTCTCTCTGGTGACCAGCCATAGGAAACAGAATGAAGCTGCATCAAGGAAAGTTCAGATTCTTCACTGAGACGGTGGTCGTTCACTGGAACAGGCTCCCCAGGGAAGTGGTCATGGCACCAAGCCTGTCAGAGTTCAAGGAGCATCTGGACAATGCTCTTAGTCATACGGTTTAGTTTTAGGTAGTCCTGCGAGGAGTGGGGAGTTGGAGTGGATGATCCTTGTGGGTCCCCTCCAACTTGAAATACTCTATAATTCTGTGATTCTATGATAATATTTTATTGTGTCACCGTCTGTATGTATTGTCTGTATGTATGTTCTCTCTCTGCACATCTGCAATATTTATACTTATACACAAGGAATTAAGTGTTATGTAGTTAAAGAACTGAAGAGAGAGCCAACTGAAATATTCTGTTCTGTTCTATTCTGACTCAGAAGAGTTGGGTATTTCTGGTTCTTCCACTTTCTTCTGTGTGAACTTGAGAAGGTCATGCTAACATTTAATAAATCGTATGACTACGAAACAAACAAGTTGTGAAACTGAATACACTAGTGTGCCTGAACATGTTAAAAACCTTGGAAGAAAAGCACTTGGGCAGTAGCAAAGGATTAATATTATTTTGGTTTTTTTTAGATGCCAATCTGCGTTACATTCACAGAGAAAAGGCTTACCCCAAAACCAGTATGGTTATTTATTTATGACTGCAGGCATTTTGCTATTAAAACCAATGGATGAATTTGAGCCACAGTGCCAGGCAATTAAACCTTATGCAAAGCTTTGAAAACGATGAGACACATTTACCACTCTCTTCTGAGGCTGCAGAGGATTCTGATTCACTGGAAGCAGTGGAAACCTGCTTTACAGAGAGCATATTAGCAATACCCGGCACTCAGAAACACTGCTGATGTGGAATTGCCTTAGCCAGGCTTCTCAAAGTGAGGACCTCTGGAAAGGTTAAGAAGTCAGTGCAAAATTATGTGATTGACTCTGATCATTGCTTTTTCATAGAATAGCTAGGGACTCAGGGAATTTTTTTGTTAGTGCCATAGTAATATCCAGTAAAATTTTTGATGTCTCAGTGTTGTGATCAGCAGTAGTGAAAAGCGAATGGGAGAAACTGCACTAGTTCTTTGTACCAGAAAAAGAATGCAAGTACAAATCAGACTCAGAAGGAATTTCCTATGTTTGATCGTGTTAGACTTTTAATTGTGAACTCTTCTGTTTTATAATACTGCCGGCTGGAATACAGCCACCAGGGGCTCTGCTGTCTTGCCACTCTCTCTCTGTTCTTGGCTATCCTGAAGGATTTCATCTTCATGTCAATATGTCATACCATTTAAAATTTACTCACAGTACTGTGTATTTACTAAAGTCTAGGTAGACAACATCCACAGCCTTTCCCTCATCCACTAAGCGGGTCACCCTGTCATAGAAGGAGACCAGGTTAGTCAAGCAGGACCTGCCTTTCATAAACCCATGCTGACTGAGCCTGATTGCCTGGTTGTCCTGTACGTGCCGCATAATGGCAACCAAGATGATCTGCTCCATAACCTTCCCCGGCACTTAGGTCAGACTGATTGGGCCCAGATCCTCCTTGTGGCCCTTCTTGTAGATGGGTGTCACATACGCTAACCTTCAGTCAACTGAAACCTCCCTGGTTAGCCAGGACTGCTGATAAATGGTGGAAATGTCTCTTTTGGTCTGTCAAACTTTGGAATAAAGAACCAAGGACCTCCCAGAAAAGGACAATGTTTATTTTTAGGCTGCTTTGATTTACTTTATATTAAATACGGGCTTGAAACAAAACCTCAGATCCAAACACCCAGAAATTTCAGTAAAGAGGCTGAAATCTCAATTTAGATTCAAGTTCTGTGGTTTGGATCCATCCCTATTTCATATTTCTGGAAAAAAGGACTTGGCCTCTTTCACTTTCTCATGGAAAAAAAGGAGGCTTTCTTACTGG